CACTCAGTCGTCACCCGGCTTGAATGTGTAGCCAAATATATATATTTATATAGCCATATAGCAAATCTATTGGCAAGAAATCCATTTCTAATGAGCTTTGTTTAGCGTTGCAGATGAATCTGAAACTGAATCCCTGGCTCATTCTGTGTTCTCTGAGTGCTGGCTGCGTGTACAAATCAATGTATGTAGCAAGTTGTGGCAGGGCTGTTGACTTACTCCTCAAGGACATAAGGTCACATACCTCTTCATCTGTGAGAGTGTAGCAACATTCCCAGGTTGTGTTGTGTTTTTTCATGTGCAACAGACATTTGATGTGTTTTCAAATCTTGCAGCTAAAGCACCAGATACTGAGAGCAGCAAAGAGATTTTTGTTTTGGAAGTGTGGTGTACTTCTGACCACAGTTTGGACGATGCCTCACTGAGGTTACACAGCTTGGTTATGAATGCAGCCTGCTTGTGTCTGTATTTGGCAGTCTGGTTAATGTCCATAGGGTGGTGTTGAGTGGTACGCAGATGACTGGGATGTTTCTGCAGTCACCACATTCGGACGAAGTGTCGCTGCTTGCACCTTGAGGTGTAGTTGTTCATCAGGAAAGAGTAGGGGTCAAGACAGAGGCTTGTGCAGTTCATTATTTATGTTGGATTTTGTAATGGGAAAATAAAAATTGCAGTCTGCGCTATGTGAAAGAGATCAAATACTCCAGTAGAATATCTTCTGTTTGTTTGTATGGGGTTTCTGCCATCCCAGAACATGCATTTAAAGGAATAGTTTTGTTAGCTAGAGTTAGAGCAGTCCCTCCAGTTCCTGTGAATTCGTTTCCCATAAGTTTCAATCATAGCAGTCCCGCTTGAAAAGACTTGAGCCATACGTCACCAAACTCACTGCCTTGTTTTGGTTGTGAAGATGCAGACCGCTGTTCTGCGTCAAAAAAGGAGGTAAACTGATGTGAAATCAGGCATTTGAGGCTGACACAAACCCAAAACAAAGCCCTCGAAATCCTGGAGGGACTGTTGGATGAGAAGATAGATACCACTCGGTGAGGTAAATATGAAGCTGCAGCCGCTTAGCTTAGTTTACCGTTGGACAGAGCCAAGTTAGCTGTTTCCCCCCCGTTCCCAGTATGTATGCTGAGGTAGGTTGCTGCTGGCTGTAATGATTTACCGTGCAGACTTGAGAGTAGTATCAATCTAGCAAGAAAGTGAGTAAGATATTTCCCAAAATATTGACATATTGCTTTCTTAGTACTAGGGATACTCCACCGCCTTTGAGGAGACACTGGACTGGCCCCCTATGGGTTGCACTGTGGATTCCCACTGCTTCTTGACAGAAATTACCTACAGACATTGTGTTAAGTTTAGCCTATCTTTTTTTTTTTTGGGAGGTTTTTGATGCACTTAAGCTATAGTAGAACCATATTACAACCCCCTATTAATTTCCTCCAGAAAGAGAACTATTAAACTCAAAATGTCCCAGATTATTAGGTTGAAGGTTGAATTACTTTCTAATTGGCCGTGGGCCCTCAGGCAGTCATTTTGGGTTTCACTGCATGTACTGACAATATCCTGTAACCCTGACAAAGGCTATTGAAGCTCAAGCACATTGTTTTTTTTAATATTCCCATCAGACTAGTTGACTTTTTTTTTACTTTCATCTAAGACTTAAGAACAATTTGAATCTCCTATCACAGCAGTCAATAAGAAGACTACACAGGTTACCATTAGACTCCTCTTCGTGTACACTTTTTAGCCCTGGAAAAAATAGTTTATGTGCACTGGGAGTGGCGGTATTTGAGCTGGTGTTCATGTATCACACCACAACGAGGTCTTCAGAATGGACCGAGCGTCAGCTGCAGCTGTCATGTTGAGTTGCCCTGTTTAGAAAATTGTAGACCTGATTAAAAAGGCACTTGTGTGCACGCCCACACTCACTCACGCTCATCTTTCCTCCTCTTCACACTTGCCCACACACACACACACACACACACACACACACACACAAACTTGAATGACTTGCTCTCTGCTTTCTCCGGTGACGTGTTTGACCGTTGCACAGACAGTTTCTTCTGTGAAGTCTCTGGTTTTGCCTGGGGGACGGCCATGTTTGACTGCATGGTCGTCTTGTGGCAGAGGTGTTCCCCGGATTAAACATTTACACAGCGTCTTGTGTTAGTCCTTTCAAAGTCTGCTACTGTCAACACATGGATGGTAAAATGCACTATTTGTACAGCACTTCTGAAGAGAGGATTTCAAACAAAAATATGGGAAGATGAGACAGGCCCTGAAAATACTTTTATATTGGTGCAGACTTAATGAAATTGCATTTTAATGTTTCTGCTTCTAAGGGCGAACTATACGTGACATGAAGCAAGAATCGATTGAATTTTTAGGGCTTCAGATAGAGATAACATCCCTTCCTAAGATTTTATTGTGATGTTTGGTCATGAATTAACGTAACTTTTTTTCGCAATTTTATTGATGAACATGAGTTTATGGCCTCGGTTTATCTGTTTACTCTCAGCCCATGAGTCTCTAACCTCTGTCTGAAGACTCTTCAAGTCCAGGCCCACTGATCCTTTGCTCTGATCTCTTTCTGGAGGGAAGCAAGTGAAAAGAGAATTCCCCCTCAGGGATCAGTGAAGTATCACACAAATTTTACCGAGATTTGGCACCATCTGAGCTCTTATTCCCTCCGTATAAAAAAGAACTGGCGAGGGATCTGAGGAAAATGAAGCGTCAGATTTGTTGTTAGATTTTTAACTATTAACAATGTAATAATGTTCACTTAAGGTACTAGATTCTCATTCAGGGAGGTCTTGTGTGAACTTGATCAAGAGACAAATTATTATCATTTTTTTATGTGTGTGTTGTGGTTCAATAAAGGATAAAGGATAGCAGTATGTGACCTCAACTGTTCCAGATGGAGCTCTTGGTCGGGAGGAGGGAGCCATAACTGGCCGCAGGCTATTTAGAAAGGAGCTGCCTGCCCCCACGCAATGAGGAGCACACAGTCAGTTCATGCCGAGAAAATGTACGAGTCTGGCCTTCAAGCTGTTTACATTTAATGCTCCCCATTAACGATTGGCTTAACCATAGAAATGTGCTGCCATTAACCCCTATGAAATGACTTTGATTATGTGGCATAGGCAAAAGAGGAAAGGAGAAAGAACCCAGACCAAGTCATTTGTGGTGTAGAGGTTTCTCAAGGACCACCAGAGGCTTCAGTGTTGGTGGCCTCATCATCCGCTTGTAAAGCTTGTTGTCATTGTTGCGATGTAAATAAGCCTCGTGGAACTTTACTGGGACACGGGAGGCTATTTGCATGTTGTTCTGGTAGATCTCATGTGATCAACAAGTGCAGAGCCCGGCACTCTTATTACAACAGAGTCACAGGATCAGCTAACAGCCACAGCTTAATCTCAATTAATCGATTCGTATTTTCATCCACACTACGCCAGGAAATGGTATTTCTGCTTAAACTTGACTTATTATTGATTATTTCCAACATAATTAGCAATAATTTTCTGAGAATAAACTACTAATTTAAAATCTGTATTTAAGTATTCTCACAGGACAATCAAACTTATTGTTAGCCTGGACTTAATACCACTGAAATGTCATTCTTTCATTTTTTAGATTACCTGTTTGCTGTCACATCAGTTTAGGTTGGTGTACACAAGCAGCAGTCTTGTTAATTTACATTGAAAGAGATCTCAAGATCTATAGAGATCTTCTTCATTAAAGTGAATTTGCTTTGAAACCAGTTGTAAATATCAGACATTCGGTGAAAGTTAAGTGTCCTAAAAAATGGAGCAACTAAAATGAAAGTCTACATAAAAACATGAGAATTTCACTCTCCCAGATATTTTAAAAGTGTTACATTCATTGTAATTGGCACAATGGAAGTGAATCCAGAGAAGGTACATGTTCTCTACTTTATTATCAGTTTACCTGACCCCCAAAAGTGCAGTTTCGTGAACTGTTCCGACCTCTAGCAGCAGTAAAACTTTACTGCTGATGTTCTTACTGCATTGCAGTCTTAACATAAATCCATGAGTTGTTGTTTTTTTTTATTTTGTGCTGCAGCAAAACCTTCGATTTAGTTTGTACTCCAAAGCTTATTACAAAACTCGTGTGTACCTTTGACTGTCACCCAGTGAGCGCTGTAGCAGTCACGCTGAGGCTGAAAGAGCAAAGATTACAAGGGTAATGTAATTTGCCTTGCAAACATCCAGCAGACTGTCAGGGAAACTTTCGCTTGATTCACATTTCTACATGAAGTGCATCAGCTTGATCAAAATGCTTTCAGACATTTCAGGAGAGGCTTTAATATCGTGATGGAAAACATTTGATATCCCTGGTAATTCTGCCTATTCAGAAGTCTTATCAGTTTTGGCATCACTGTGTGGCAGACATGAAAGTGATAATGGTTGAGAGAGTCTGATGGACTATTTAATAGGGAAACTTTTAAATTATATTTTCCTGTCAAAGGCTATCTGGAGGTAGGTAGACCTGACAAACAAAAGCAGTAATAAAAGCAGGTTTGGCAGAGATGCCAGCTGCCTGGTTGTGTGGGGATAAGGTGTTAATAGTCCACTCTAATGTTGGGAGCATTGCTCACATCTCACTCTGGACACTGTGGTCTTTTTATAGTCTCTGTCCTGACAGCAGGCCCCATGGAACGGTCTGATTTGATTTCTTTGAAGTGCAGCAGTGATTTCCTATTGTGGCTATGTGAGATGTCCTCAGCTTTCCCTGCTGGAGTGCACTGGAGTGCTCTCGCCGTTTCATCCAGGCCAGTTCTGCGTTGTCATCATCATCCATCCTAAATCCTTGTGAAAAGTTTCTTCTTTTGGGAGGGGAGGGGGTTGTCTTCTGGTCTCATAAGCTCTCCTCCTCTCTCTCTTGGTCCCTCCCCTCCCTTGTTTTTAGGTTTTCTGAGGAAGTCACAGGGAGGTGTTGTCAGATGGTACCTGTTGTTGAAAAGGAGTTATCATGGCTTATAACACTAATCTGTTTCTGTGTCTCTTGTCTCTTGTTTCTCTTGCAGGTGAAGGACCGTGCAGACAGACTGTCTCACACTAAGCTATGGAATGCTCCCTGCACCCACCATCACTAGTCTCCAATCTTTGGACTGAGCTCCAAACGCTTAGTTAGCGGCTGTGCTTCTCCCCTCGAACTCTTTATAACCAGGGGACGAAGAAAAGGAAAGGGCTTATCAAGTCCTCCGCTAAAAAACGCACAGAGCACTTCTTTTTTTTTTTTTTTTAGAATATTTAAGCTAGTTTTTCTCCACTTGAATTTTTTGTCTGGTGAAATTACATCAAGATGGATCTGGAACCGTACCTATGGATGGTCATTATTGGCTTCATCATTGCCTTCATATTGGCCTTTTCAGTCGGCGCCAATGATGTGGCCAATTCTTTCGGAACAGCAGTGGGGTCCGGTGTGGTCACACTGAAGCAGGCCTGTATCCTGGCATCTATCTTTGAGACGCTGGGCTCGATGCTACTAGGGGCCAAAGTGGGTGAGACGATCCGAAAGGGCATCATAGATGTCAACCTGTACAATGAAACGGTGCCCGTGCTCATGGCAGGGGAGGTCAGCGCCATGGTCGGTAAGTTGGGCTGAATTTTCCGTTTACTATTTTGCTGATTGATTAATCATTTTAGTCTTTTTTTCAAGCAAAATCTTGAGATATCAGCTTACAAGGAGGATTTGCTGCTCTTGTTTGTCATATATGGCAGTAAATTTGATTATATTTAGATGGACAAGGAATTTAAAGATGTGGGAAATCATATTTTTTCACAATTTTACACAAATTAAAAATACAATGGGTGGATTATTAATAATATAGATAAAGTTAGATAGATACTAGATTAGTTAATTGCAGCACTAATACAGTGAGTCACATAAGAAACCCTAAATCTTTAACTTATAACCCCATGACTGTAGATGAGAGACAGGATTGCCGGGTGTCATAGATGAATATTAGTACTGAAACAACAAGCAGTGAAAAAGTTGCTACAGCTCAAGGTGACCTCTTCTAGTTGTTAGTTTTTCAAAAACAGAATAAAACATAATATATTATATGATAATAAAAAATAAAATCCTCACATTTGCAAAGCTAGAATCATTTAGCTCTTGTAGGTGTTTCTACATATAGATAAATTTATATCTGTTATCGTGGTGCAAACACTGCCATTCCCCCTGCTATTCACGTTTAACAGTACACACGTTTGTTTATGTAAATGGTAAACTCTCCACCTCCTGTGCAACTGTACTTCAACTTGAGTCACTTTTTTCTTTCATATCCTGACCTGCGGGCAGACACAAAAGCACGTCAGATTATTCCAATACATGTAACATTCACACATTGTCCCATACTCGTCTGCCTTACAAACAGCTCTGAAATGCTCCGAGCTGCTGTGATCAGAGTCCGTGCTGCAGCCGAATATCCATATGATACATACATACACCAGGAGAGAGGCATCGCTCATCTTCATTACATGTTTGAGGTTTTCCCAAATTAAAAAAAGCTTCTCCAACTGTTCTAACCGGTTTGTGACTCCCTGTTTTTCTTCTCGCTCGCAAACCAAAATGAAATGCCATAACTCTTGCAGAGTTGTTTTTGTACTTCAGTTGGTAAAAGTTCAGTTGTTCATCTGAATAGCATCTGCACTTGTTTTGCAAACCACTTGGATTTATGAGAGATGTTATAAAATTTGTTTTGTCCTTGTCAAAGCAACTCTCAGACATACAGTGTGAAAAACGTTTAATCTATTTCCAGATGAACCTCAGGATCACATTTTTTTGTAATGTTAACTAACATTTGTCAACGTCTCCCGAGCTGCTTCACAGAGGAGAGCAGGAATCGTTGATTATCAACAGTAGCTTCACTCATGAACATTAGATTACCTCAGTAAATGCATGGTGCAGAACAGAAAACAATGGGGCTCCCGTTGAGACAATGCCATTTTAATGACAGAGTGACTGCTGGGAAACTGTGATAAATAAGGCGATATTATGCACAGGGGATTCCCGTGTCGCTGGAACACTCAACATTTGTTAAACATCCAACAGGAAATGTTTTTTACTGGCATATTGTTTATACAGACTTTTTTACATTTTATTTGATTGGATAAAAGCAGGAAAATACTACTGTTGACAGAAATGACACAGTACAGAACATGAAAATAACCTCCAAGCTTGACAATAAGACTCAGATGCCCAAGAATAACAAAGTACATTTACCTCTGAGAACAGATTGTGTTAACAGACGCTGTGGGATTTTTGTCTCGATAAATGAAGCATTGTCTACAGAGTCACCTTTTCATCAAAGATATATAATCCCATATGTTCTAGTATAATATTAAACATCCCTTAATGGTGATGTTTATACTATATACTAACTATGTTTGTACTATACCTGTAAAGGTATTTTCTTTAACTTGTACTATGTGGTCGTAGAGAATAATGTGTCTGGTTTTTCATATTAGAGTGAAACTTAAAATACAGGTTAATTTGTGCCAACCTTTACACACAACCCAAACCTAAAGCAAAAAGGGTTCAGTCCAGTAAAGTAAACAACAAACAGTAGCATAACTCCCTATTTGAGCACAAAAATTGTGGTAATAAATTTCTCTAGTTCACAGTTTTTACTTTCCTTTGTTCCAGAACTACATTTCTGATGGAATACAGTCGCTAATAAAATATGTCTCAGATTTGTGTGTTGTTTTGTTTTTGTTATTCACAGGGTCAGCAGTCTGGCAGCTAATCGCCTCCTTCCTCAAACTGCCTGTCTCTGGGACTCACTGCATTGTTGGCGCCACCATCGGCTTCTCCATGGTGGCCATCGGCACCAGGGGCGTACAGTGGATGCAGCTCGTCAAGATCGGTAATGGCTCGGGCTCTGTGAGACCTATATGCTTACTGTTTATCGTCATGCCTGCTACAGTGTTCACTTACAGCACACAGTTTTTACATACAATTACGCATACTCACAAAAGTGCAGCTTTTCTATTGAAAACTAATATGAATTAAAAATCACCACACTGAGATATTTCCAGTACAGCTGCAGTGGACGACTCCCTCAACCATTTTACACAGCGAACAATCTGTTTTAGAAGAAGCAGAGTTATGGATTTCTCCACCATTGGGGGTCTCAATAGCAGCCACAAGACATTCTTTAAAGTAAAACACTAGCTAGCTTTATCTCAGATGCATGTATAAACCACAGCTTTATTTAAAAAGTGAATGACTGTTACTTAAGGGTTGGAAGTCATTCTGGGACAGCGGTGGAAAGTAAGCAAGTACGTTTACTCAAGCACTACTTATATTTTTGTACTTTTACTTAAACATTGGAACATTTGAAAGCAGCACTTGTACTTGTAACCAAGTATTTCTACTCTGTGGTAATACGACGTACAAAATCTGTACCACTGTTCTGGGAAGTGTAGGAAATAACTAGTGAAGAACAGATGATAAGCCAGGAACGAAAAGACATTTGCCACTATGTGATTTAGTGTGTTCGCAAGTGTGTTGCTGTTCTTTTCTGATGACATGTTCTCCTCCCTCTCCAGTGTCATCGTGGTTCATCTCCCCCTTGCTCTCTGGACTCATGTCTGGTCTCCTCTTCATGCTTATCAGACACTTCATCCTCATCAAGGTGTGATCACATTGCTAAGCACAAACACAAATCAACACAACCCCTCCTTTACAGGTCATATTTCTAGTTCAGTACATAACTGAATAATATATGTAGTATTTAACCTTTATAAACATTTAGGCTATAAGCTTTAATGTACAATATGTAATTCCTACCACTAGGGGGTGTTTCACATCAGAACAGTAACAGACAAAGTTTGTTGACATCATGAAGTAGCGTGGGATCATGGGAGTTGTCTTTTTACACCACCATTGCCGTCATTGCAGTCAGCTTCTCCCGGTTAGGATTCCTTTAGTGTTAATCATTCAGGAGGTTTCTATTGGGAGCCAAATTATCAGCAGAGGTCCATCAAAATGTATAACACAGGTGTAGTGTTTATAGACATTTTAGTGTGGAACTTAACAATGAGGGCTCTGGAATACTGACGATGAAAAATTATGTTATATGACTTTTCCAGGTCCAGGAGTTTAAAACACCAGAAATTAGACACAGACATAAATGTAGACACACATACCTGTCCATAAAACTTCAGCACAGATAAAATCCATTTGATTTGGCAACATTCGCAGATCTGCTGTTATGTAACTGGCAATCTCTGGCAGACCAGGAAGAGAGGTCACGACTGCGGGATTATGTATGAATGAGTCATAGGACGATTTGTCATTTGGACTAGAGTTGTTGTGTAGCTGGGTCAAATTCAGGATGAGTTCATTTCTGTCTCTACAGGCTAGTTGCATCAGTTAAGTCAGAATATTTAAGCTTTCTATTACATCTATGCTGTGTTTTCTAAACTGCACAGGCAAGACAATGGGTTTAGTTTGTAGATGTGAGACTTTTACCTTAGTACGTTTGGTCATACTGCGTATCAAACTCCTCATAAAGCACACATTGTGCAAGAGTGAATTGTTGTATATATAGTTTTACCTCATCATCTGTTTTTACTATTTCCACACCTTTGAATCGACCTGACCTGAACGTCTGACCTCAGAAGGAAGTTGTGGTTTTATTTGATGTCAGCATACGAAACTATGTTAAGCATTGTACTACAACAAAAACGCATACATTGTACAGTAAACATTGCAAACACCCGTTAACACTTGATACTCATACATCATTTTGATCGTTTTCTCGGACACAAGAGGTGACTAATGACAAATCTAACTTCTGTACATCGCAACCTAATGTGCATTTTTATATTTAAAGCTTGCCTTGCCCACAGTGATGTATAGTTGGTGAGAAGTGAACTGCTCATTGTCTTCCTGAGGGACACGTTGACATGATGAAAAGCTGCGAATAATTGCAGCTTGGTCATGACATAGGAAATTAAACAGGAGGGACACAGGTTTAATAAATTGAAAGATAAGAAAATCTAAAAGTAATAAAGCCTTAAGTAAAATATATGTAGTCAGTATCAATACAAGTATTTCCCAATACTGATAGGGATGCACGTAATGATGAGTTTCATTATTGACTAATCTTTCAAATTACAGGAAGAGCTCGAGGTGACATCTTCAAATTACTTGTTTTATCTAACCATCAGTATAAAACCCAAAGATATTCCGTGTATTATTATATATGACAAAAAAATAGGTAATTTAAGTTAAAAAAAAAAAGTTTTATTTGAAATTTCACTGAAATAATATAAATAGTTGCAGTTATTCAGTTTTTTTAATTACAGATTTGCTTTGAACCATTCCCTTTACTAATAGTTGATAAACATGCATACGGACATTAGTAGCATTAAGGAAACTACAATTTGAATTTCATTCTACAACACTGGATTAACTATCAAATAACCTTGAATCCTTAAATATGAGAAACTCTACTTAAAATCTGTATGTGTGTTTTTTCCACATAGGACGACTGTGTTCCCAACGGCTTGCGAGCGCTCCCCCTCTTCTACGCCTCCACAATTGGGATCAACACATTCTCCATCATGTACACTGGAGCTCCATGTAAGTGCTTATTCCTAATAGAGATGTTGTATCTGTTTATTTAGTCTGACACCAACATATGATCAAATTATCATCTCAGTCCTAACGGGTGATGGCGCCAGGGTCGTTTGCTTGCTCAAAAATCCATTTGAAGGTGTGACTAGAGTATGACTAAATTGTAATGCTTTGAAACTACTTGCAAAGTGTTGTTTTCTTATACTTGTGTGTGTTCATTAATTGCAGTGCTTGGGTTAGAGATGCTACCGGTGTGGGCCATCTTTCTCATTACTTTAGCTGAGTCGCTGATCTGTGCAGGCCTGGTGTGGATATTCGTCTGTCCCTGGATGAGGAGGAAAATAGCAAGTGGGTATCTCTGTGTGTGTGTGTTTGTGTGTGTGTGTGTGTGTAGCCTTTCTCACGCCATCTGAAAGCCAAGCACTCAGACCCGGGCCCAACACAACAGCACCGCAGCCTCTGCTTGCACACTCTGTGCCCTGACACCAAACGAGATGCCAGCGGATGTGCTTCCTCGTTGGCCTCTGCCAGAGGCACTAAAGCCACCAAAAACCCTGTGAACTCTGTGTGGTATTCCATTTGCGTTGCTTAGACACTTCTTAGGCGTGTAGCTGCTTGGCCACATGCAAGGGGTTAAGTTCATAGCCCGCAGTCCAGAAAGCTTTCAGATCAAGGTTAGGGATTGTTTCTCTAATGGGAAAATAAGCCTGCAGCAAAGCAGACAACGCCATAAAACACATGACACATTAAATAAACTAGTGGAAAGAGCAGTAGGTGGAATAACTGAAGGAGTGGTGGACATAAGCAAGGCAGCCAGTCTGTTCAATTCAACCTAATGTCATGCAGGATAAATAAGAACTTCTGTTTACTGAAGCAATACAGACTAAAACTGTTAAGCCACAAGTCTTAGAGGCCAGTAATATTTCCAAACTGATAGACCAGATAAATGCTTTTTATCGATATGAACAAAAAAATGAAGGTTGACATTAAACAAAATAAAGGAGTGCTGTTACTGAAGGGATAACATCCACGTTGTGGCTTAAAATAGAACAATTATTTTCTCGAACTTTCCATTGACCTCGCATATGAGTGAGGCCAACTTCACCCATTGCTTAACGTGTCTTGACCTCTAAATTCCTGTGAGGATTATAGGTGATATTATCGGTCCTAATCTGGATATTACTGCATCCGTCAAAATGAAATGGGCAGTAGCTGAGTTTATGTGTTTGTACTGAGGGGTGTTTTGAGGAGTAGGAGGGCAACAAGTCTATCAGCACCGGGATTAGGATCAGCTGATGGCTATACTTGTGTTTGTGGAATGTTGCTGCATAGTTTTCTCTTTTTCTAACCTGAAACCAGGCTTTTTCTGACTGATTATTATTAATATTATTGCAGAGTAACAATACAGTTTAAACAAAAACATGCATTAAAAAAAAAAGGATATGTGTGCCAAAATTAGTGACTTCACATGTGAAACTCATGTCCTGATTTCATCAGCTTGCCCTAATTGGAAATCATCCAGATAACTTCACTGTAAAACCTCAGCATTTGATTGTTTTGTTGTTCTGTAAATGATCCCTCAGACATATTAGAATATAAACCCAACATGTAAATACAGGTGTTCTCCTCATTATTGGTATATACGGCCCTGTAAACACTTTGTTAGCATTGTTAAGAGGATTTAAATGTTCATGTGGGGATATTTTGTCACTCCAGGATGCACTTTTAACTAAACCTTACATTGCTTGATCTCCTCAAGGTCGTCTAAAGAAGGAGCAGGCTCTGTCCCGGATCTCTGATGAGAGCCTGGACAAGATACCAGAGGAGGAGGAAGAGAGCCCCGTCTTTAAGGAGCTACCAGGGGCCAAGGGCACAGATGAGGCTGTGTTGCCGCTCACTGGGGGCAGCAGTGAACGGGGCACCCGCGACTCCAGTGGAGAGCTCACCAACCTGGCTAATGGAGGCACGGTCCTGCCAAATGGCAGGGTGTATGGTAATACTGGAATATTATTTTTAATTTGAGATGTGCCGGTTGATCACTATATCTGTTCTTGACTGGAAACTGTGTTCACTGTGTAATCATTGTGGATGAGTAACTGTATATCTGTTGCTGCAGTAATATGACTTTTATAACTTGGGCTTATCAAAACTAGAACATTAATGGTAAATGAAGTATTGAACATGAACATGAGTTGGTAGAACTTTTTTCTTACTGCCATCCTGCCTTCATCAAGCTGGTGTGTTTCTGGTTTGACAGTTGATCAATTATTTTTAAGATTTATTATTTTATAATAAATAAATAATAAAGTTTACATGTAGAATATAAGTTAGAATGAATGTAAAACCTACCTACAAGACAATATTATAACACTAAAATATATATTTTTACAGTGACTACAATAATTGTTAATCCATCAGTGGGTAGAAAAGGTTTCTCCATTTTTCATTGCAAATGAGTATATTGCATACTTTTTCAGCCTCATTTAGTACCATTTCAGTTTCTGTATATTCAAGGAGAAACTGTAAGTGTGCTGCTATTAGATACTACTTGGCTACTGTGTTGATCTTCATAAACATTGTGCATCCACACCCACATCTTCATCGTCTCTCCTTAAGGCCGGACCCACTCAATGACCAACGGCTGCCTCAAGTCACCCATCTCCAACGGCAGCTTCTCCTTCGATGGCCACATGCGCAGCGATGGCCAGGTCTACCACACTGTGCACAAGGACTCAGGTCTGTATAAAGATCTGCTTCACAAAATCCACCTGGGCCGCATGGATGACAGCGACCGCTCGGGCTCCAACGCCGGCCCAGCTGACAACAATTACCGCCTGCTGCGCCGCAACAACAGCTACACATGCTACACAGCTGCTATATGCGGCATGCCCGTCCAGCCGCTCATCCGTACAGAATCACGCGAAGACAGTGAAAAGTTGGTGGGAGAGGGAGGCGGCAGGAGCAACAGCGTGTCCTACACCAAGAAGAGGGTACGCTACGATAGCTACTCATCGTACTGTAACGCTGTGGCGGAGGCTGAGATCGAGGCAGAGGAGGGTGGGGTGGAGATGAAGCTAGCCACAGAGCTGGAGGGGGTGGAGGAAGAGGGGGCTCCAGCTCCGGTCCCTCTGGACGACTTGGCCGAGGAGGATCACGAGGAGAAAGATAAGCCTGAGGTGTACCTGCTTTTCCACTTCCTGCAGATCCTAACCGCCTGCTTCGGCTCCTTTGCCCACGGAGGAAACGATGTCAGGTGCTGCCTCCTGCTGCTGCTCACAAACAACAACAACAAATAGAGAAATCATCTGTATTCTGCTGCTTTGATTTCATTTTGTCCTTGATGTTGAGTCTAGCATAAATACTATATTCCATATTCTCATCTTTGCAGTAATGCCATTGGGCCCCTAGTGGCACTGTGGATGATCTATGACCAGGGCGGTGTCATGCAGGACGCCGCCACCCCCGTCTGGCTGCTGTTTTACGGTGGTATAGGCATCTGTGCCGGCCTGTGGGTGTGGGGCCGCCGCGTCATCCAGACCATGGGGAAAGACCTGACTCCCATCACCCCCTCAAGGTGAGAAAGCCACCGTATGGGAGAGTGGGGGGAAGGGTGGGTGTGTATATGTGTGTGTATGTGTGGAAATGGTTGAGAAAGAAAAAAATATGAGAGAGAGAGAGAGAGAGAGAGAGACAGGCCAAGACATGCTGACATAAACGAGTCCATCGGGTGCAACATCTTCCTTGGTAAGTGTTTATGTGCACACAGTTGTATTACACAGACACACAATGTATTTAATAAGGCTGTTATTAAAGACGCATCTCAGCTGACAGGAAAATGTATAAACCTAAAGCAGCACAATCGTGGTTAGACTGCCTGCTCTGTTGCCTCAGCTGCTCCCTGTTCACAGGTACAGTAAACTAATGACTAATGATGGGTTTTTCTCTCGAGCATGAACTGATTAACTACTCTCTACTTCCCAAACAGAGCAGCCGCTGCAGGCGCACACACATTTTAACAACACAAGCAACCTGCAAGTACAATGTTGTATTTGCCTCTTCTCTGTTGGTTGCATCTGTAAACGCATATATGTGAATGATTTAATATTTCTCATCAAGAGGGCAGACTGATTTCATGTGATTTCATCATTTTAATGTAAAGATGTATATATTTGAATACATTTATTTTAGATACAGTACAATATAAAAGTGAAATGATATTTTCTGTCCCTTTTTTAAAGATGTGTAAACTATTTGAGGATAAATATATAATTATCTCTATATTGCATAATGCAATTACACATTTTGACTGTAATCACACAGTCAGTCCAATTTAATGTAACTTTGCTAGACCTAACTCTTTACTCCTTTGGAACATGTTCAAGTAGAAGAAAATATTTTTCTTCTGCCCTCTGACTGATTACATAATAATTATGAATAAGTACGTAGTCTTTTAGACAACAACATATAAAGCCCCTGGGCTCACTCCGTCCCACAACCTAAACAGTGGACATCACGCATTCTTATCCACCGACTGCTGTTGCTCTGTCCTTGAGATCAATCTCTCGCTCTTTCTTCTGTCCTCTCGTCCTCCCACACAAACTGTGTGTGTGTCTGTGCGTGCGTGCATACCTCAAGGATGTTTGTGTGTATCGTGTCAGCTTGAAGAAGCCAGGCTGAATGCCTGCAGGTCGTTGTGCAGTGAATGTACTGTATGTGTCTATAAGACAGAGAGAGAGTGTGTGTGTATGTGTGTGTATACTCTGTTGCCTGGCAGGAACATCACACAGGGTTTCAGGAAGTTGTTTGGCATTCTGGATGAAGAGAAGTAGAGCAGGAAGAGTGAGGGAGGGGCAAAGCCACAGTGGGAACCATGGCCTCTCTTCTCCAACCGCAGGGAGGGACGCCAGCCTGACTCCTTCTCTCTGCTCTTTTCTTTTTCCCCTCTGTCCTCCTTGTTTTCCTAGTCTTTCTACCCTCTCCTTTGAATCCTTGTTTTTGCAGTTAACCCTCTACTTCCTCTTCTTCATTCCTTCTGAATCTCCTCACTGCATCTTTTCCTCTTTTTTTATTGGCGTCTCACCTCTAACTTTTAAGTCCCGCAATTGTTCTCACGCTCACATCATCTCATTATTTTTCCCCCTCTCTCTCTCTCTCGATTTTGGCCCCTCTTTCTATCTCTGTGCCTTCTTTCTTTCGCTTTAATCTCCCTCTTCCATCACCAGCTTAGTCTTTCGCCAGGACTCAAAAGACAAATTAGCTCTGGTTCACTGTTCTAAAGGCACTCTTTCCTCCAGTGTCTGTTTCCATGCATCAACCTGACAAAGAAGTTTGTTTGGGGCAAGGGCAGGAAAGTGTGTGTGTAGGTGCAGTTGTGTGTCTGTAGTTGGTGGCTGAGCATATGTTTGAGGAGGCAAAGGGAACACTTGAACATAAATATGACCTGTCTCCAGAAAGACTTTTTGCTCTGCCATTCCTGATGAATGGGTCATTTTTCACAGAGGACATTTTCACTTGTCACAGTAGGAAAAGCACACATATAAATAATAAAAATTAACAATAGCTGAGTTCCATTTATCTGCTTCAGTTTCAGCGATCTGGTAATGTACCTGCTGGCTCATTGTCACACTGTAATGACTTACTGACACCTGAATAGAACAAAGGCATTATTAATGTTATTAGTAAACTTGTGCTTTTTATTACAAGTTAAAATGTCTGCTGTGAAACAACCTATTGGAAATCACAGTTAAGTGTTAGTTACAGAGCAGGTATCACAGCTCTGTAGAATTTAGATGAACACTTTTTGGGGTTTTTTCAGTGGAGAGCTGACAGGAAATGAGTAGAGAGAGAGAGAGAGATATTGGGGACAGCATGCATGGTCAGCATCTTAAACCCCTAGGCCACCAGGGCATCCCACCTATGCAGACTTTCTGCACACACAGTTTAAGAGAGCACCCATTTCAAGTTATGTTCAAATCATTAGAGCACTGCTGTGAAATAGATTGGTGCTTGCTGTTCATGAGCGCCACAATGGCGTCTGGAGTGAAATGTTTTTGATTTGACCAATTAAATTTCAACAGTGTCTGCCCCCAGAGCTTTACCTCGTTGAGAGTTTTATTGGCTGTTTTTTTTATTTATTACATAACTGCAATGAAAGGAGTAACAGCTAATGATTCAGCTTCAAGTTGCTTTCTCATTCATCCAGTTTCTCTATATATTTCTCTCTTATATGTCTCTTATCCTGTTTTTATTATTTAATTACAATCCCCAGTTTTCCATCTCGAGCCAAAAGATTTCTTTTTTTAATGATTTTCTTTTCCTGTGTGCCAGACCTGGTGTCAGTGTGAATAATGTTCTGGAAACAGGACAGGGCTTCAGATGAAGTGTCTCCTAGTCCGCACAAGGCAGCAAACTCACACACTCAAAGCTATGTCTGTGTACCACATACAGCTATTCTCTTTATTAAGAATTACCTTCCAAACACCCAGGACCTGATAGAAATGTAGTCTTTATTTTGTGTGTGTGTGTTTCAGGCAGAGAGAGTGTAATTACCATATTTCTTCTCTTCCGTGTGTGTGTGTTGAGCATACTTTAAAGATCTGCTGAATGTTCTGTTGTGGTTACTGTGGATGCTGGAATATGGTGTGAGCTTACCTTACCAGCAGCACGTCCCAGACAGTACAATGAAGGATGTCTCTTTGCTTCCCCCTCTCCTCTCCCCTTCCTCCTCCACAGTGGATTCACTATTGAACTGGCTTCTGCACTCACAGTCGTGTTGGCTTCCAATATCGGAATCCCTGTCAGTACCACACACTGCAAGGTATGACTGAGTGGCCCCTCCAGCTGGCCTCTCATCTCCCCTACAGGCATTTCCAGGGGACAGGGAGCTCACACTGTTTCCCAGGGCACCGGACTAGAAATAAACTCACCACTTTACTCCAAATCAGCCTTGCAATCAGATACTTTAAGTGGATTTTCCACGTTTTCATGTTCATATGTTTGCCAGACAATCTCTTTTTCGTGGTTGTGTTTGGAAGGATGCTCTAATGAATAAATAATTACATTTAAATAGAGAGAGCAAAGTTCAGATTCTTGTGGCAGAAAAGGATAATTCCAGTTTGTTACAACTTGGGTCTTATTTATTAGTTTTGGCCATTCTTTCTCTCAGTTATAACAATGCCCTGTACAAGCTAAAGTAATTGCTGAAGTCTGATGGCAAGAAACAACAGCAGCCTAATGATCAGTAAGGTTGGTAAACAAGCAAGGAGTCATTTCCAATAAAACATGCCCCCTTACCTTTCAAAATGCTACTTTTACAATTTCCACTCTGAATTCTCTCTAAACTATGTCCTTTGATTGTCCAGCTGCTAAAATACAGAACAGATAGTCTAGTCTTGTTAAAACTGTTGATACACACATCTGAGCTGCCATTAGTTTTACTGTGCGGTCACAGCAGTAGACTTTATGAGCAGCAGGGATTGATTTGTCTTACCTTATTGCTGTGGGATGCTAGATTTGCAAGGACTACTCAGGGCTCAAATAGCACCTCTTGGGCTTATAATTTGAATTCTTTTAATCTATCCTTTTTATTTACAGTTATTAATATTATTATATTCTCTAAAAACATGCTATAATATTAAAGATCAAGGGCCGGAAAGGATGCTTGCCTGTAGTTAAGCTGGAACATCTATTATATCATTATCTATCAGAAAGTATCTAGTCTCTATTGTAGAATTTAAACATGATTTAAGTAGAGTAAGTGCAGTTGTTTGAGAAACCTCTTTTCCACTTTTTCCAGATATTAGTAATTACTTTTGTGTAATTAACTGTTTGGATTTTTTGCCAAAACTATGAATATAAAATCCAAATTATAATGAACCAGAATTGCCATTTAATTACCTGCATCTGACCCCACTAAGCTTTTAACTGTATTAAAAGACAAACAATTCGAGACATGTCCAGCCCCAGGCAGCCGTGTGCAGCCCCTCTCCCCTGTTCTTTTCAGGAACGTCGGATCCAGGCTGGAAGACGTAGGAACACCTCCAGCCCCAACCATGTCCCAGCATGATGTTTTATCCTGTTTCATTCCCACCAACTGTCTTTCAGCACTGGCATGGTTTGGTGTGTGGGTCCTCCACCCCACTGTGCTTGACTGCAAACAGACCCCCGCCCCCAACCCCACTCCTCCACCCCACCACCAGCCTCCTCCCCCGACCCCACCTGTCATACTTGTTTTCCACTTTTTTACCTCCCTCTCCATCTTTCTCTGTGTCTCTCCACTCATCTGTCTTCACAGCGGATTTTGCATTGAAGTAATGAGTGCGCTAACAGTGCTTGTTGCATCAAATGTGGGCATCCCAATAAGCTCCACCCACTGCAAGGTATTGGAGTCATTGGTGGTGAGGCCGTGTTAGGGAGCCCTCTCTGGGCTCCACTTCATCGCTTCACCTGTAGCTGTCAATCGCCAAAGCCAATCACAACTCCTAAAGTTGCTGTTTTGACCTCTGCTGCAGTTTTCCTCCGGCAGAAAACCCCAATTTTGGATTAAAGGAGACCTTAATATGACAAATTTGATTAAATTTGATGCAAGTCAATTAGATATAAAGCATTATATCACAAGTGTATAGCTATTGATCTGTACTTTTTTTAAATCAAAGAGACACTTTTAGCCAGATATTGATCTACTTGTTCACATTCTCATTTGTTAATTAGATGAGAAGTATCACATTGTTCTATAGTCAAATACAATTCAAACTTGAATTTAACAAAGATATTTTAAAGGAATTGTTTTGAGATTTTGGGAGTGTTGGATCAAAAGATTGGTACCACGCTTACATTTGACTGTTAAATATAAAATTGTAGTAAGGAACCGTTAACATAGCATAGCCCTTAGACTGGAATCAGGGAAACGGCTAGCTACCTAACATGTTACATCTGGTTTGTTTAATCCATGCAGAAACTGATTTTTACTCGAGGAAGTCAATGTCACTAATCTAACTGGCTTTACTAGCTGGTTTTACCTTCAAATTGGTAGCCTGTATTGGGGATGAAGTTCAATGTAACATGCATCTTATTGACAATGTTGGATCAAAAAAAGTGATAAGATTTTACTGCATAAGAACTGCATCTATAAAGACATAAATGTATGTTTATGATTTAGATAAATACAAACTTTTGATGAAGGGAAACTGCACAAGACTCAAAACTGGTATTTAATTGCTGATGATAATTTTGTCTAAACATCAACATCGCCATCTATACCTTACTTTCATTTCTCACCTCCAAATACCCTTCTCTCTTCCCTAAAACCTCAGATAATCAGCTGTTATGCCAAATGCTAAATCTACTGATGGTTAGAGGTATATAATTGTGGTGGTGATTTGATTGATTAAATGGTTGTGTGCAGGGGAGCCACAGATGTTTTTGGGCAAAATCTGTATTTTAAAGATATTCATGATTTTTTTCTTTTTCACGTTAAGACATTTTTCCTCAATTTAAGGTTAAAAGTTTTTAGACAGTAGCCAACAACATCTGTAAACATCTCCCTTACCGCTGAGAGAATTTGAGTGTGTTTGAGCAGTGATGGGCATCCATTCAGTTTGGTCTCAGTTCAGAGTGGTTATTTTCTTTACGTATTTGGCTTCTTTAAATGAGTGCAGATCAAACTGAACTGATGCCCAGCCCAGGCGTTTGGAAAGTGTGGTGTGATTATGTACAATGACTCGTTGTTTCAAAAGCTCTACAGGCAGTCAGCAGCACAAACACTGGGGTCACACCGAGTTCAGGCTTTACTGCTGCATGCCTGAAATACTACAATTGGCGGTAAACAGACTTCTTGACCACAAAGTTTAGATATTGTTCCACACAGACTGCTTTTAGACTAATGCAAATCCTCCAAAAGAAAGAGAATTAGATTTTTTTAATTCAACGAAAGAAGTCAAACTACCTGGCTAACATCTCCTTCCCAGACAGTATTTTTGAGTAGTCAAGCTCTAGCGTAACTTTGATTCAGACTGACCTATCTCCGACAAACACCGCTGGTCTCTGTTGACCTGACCTTCCACATTTAGTCGAGAGTGTGACAGAAGGAGTCTCATGTTTCTCTAGCCGTATAAGAGCAGGAACAGTTTTAAGGCCCGCCCACCTGCAACGTCACAAACACAGCTGAAACCAGTCACTGCACATGCCACTCCAACACACTGGAGGTGTCTGAAACATGTTCAAGTGTCTTCTTATTTAACACTGTTCTGACTTGATTGTTTGAATAAAGGTGAGAGTTAATTGGTGGAGGTCTGACATGAGCAGAAAGAATTACATCAGCTGAGAAAACAATCTTCTTGTTAGATTTAAAGGTCCAGTGTGTAACATTTAGGAGGCTCTGTTGGCAGAAGTGTAATATAATATTTATAGGTATGTTTTTATTATATAATCACCTGAAAATAGGAATCTTTATGTTTTTGTTACCTTACAATTAACCTTTTTTTTTTTTATCTAAAGGCCCCATTTTATCTAAAGGCCCCATTTTTGTAACATCAGAACTGCTGATATCAGACTTCCACACCCAAAAATGAAATGTATGCAGTAGGAACTTTTAAAATCGGCTTGCTCTAACTAACACAGATATTTTGGACTGAGCTGGTCCTGAAGAGCTGAAGGATGTGTACAGGCTTTTCTGTTTGGAGGCCCGGATTTACCTGTGTGTCTTTTTATTATCAGTGGTGGAATGCAACTAAGTACATTTACTCAAGTACTTTACTTAAATACGGTTCTGAGGTACTTGAACTTTAGTCGAACATTTCTATTTAATATTATTTTCTTATAATATTACTTTGCAGATAAAGATTTTACACGTTACAATATGTGTGGTCACTTTTAACTTTTTATACTTTTTTGCTGATAATAATTCTGTACTTTAACTTTAGTAGAATTTTCAGTGTAATGTAATGAAGTATTTTTAAGTAAAGGATCTGAGTACTTCATCCACCACTGACTATTATTGTGTTAAACCTATTGTATTGGCCTGTATTACAGTCTTCCAATGGCAATTTCATTCATCAGCAGTCAAGTCCACTAGAGCTAGATGGACAAATAGTGGCTAAACATACAGTAAATACAAGTAAGCAAGAAAACATCATGGAAAGCCTGAACAACCTGCAGCTCTTCAGTGTCTTTTGCATTTTGTTCTGTGCCGCTGCTGATTGTTTCCTCTCTCCCATCCCTGGCTGCGGCCTCCAGGTGGGCTCGGTGGTGGCCGTGGGTTGGATCCGCTCCCAGAAAGCAGTGGACTGGCGGCTCTTCAGGAACATCTTCCTGGCGTGGTTCGTCACAGTGCCCGTGGCCGGCCTGTTCAGCGCTGCCGTCATGGCCCTATTCGTCTACGGCATCCTGCCCTACGTCTGAAGGGCACGTGGCTGGGAGGGAGAACAGAGGAAGATGAGATAGTCAGAGGGAGAGAGAGAGAGGGA